GCGGCTGCTCAGCTCGGGCTGGACTCGAACCGCTGTTGCTCAGAGCTCAAACTCTTGAGCGAGCTCTTAACCAACTGAGCCACTTGGCCGGCCCGATATATCCATGTTTTAATATAAGATTATTTGACTCCAATCTGAATAAGATTAATAATTTTATAAAGCTGGTCTGTCTTGTTTTGTGTTTTTGTGGCAGAGGTTAGAGAATTCCTTAGAGAGCAAGTCAGCAGAATGACCATGACCTAATCAACTGTGATACTAGAGCACTCACCCTGTGGCCTGGGAATCCCACAGGGAGAGGGAGTGAATGTCCGGAGGAAAGGCAGAGCAACATCCAGGGCCTGGGGCCAGGCTGCCTGCCATTGGCTGTGTAGCTCTTGCCAGGTCATTTAACCTGTGTGCCTGCTTCTTCATCTCTGAATAGAAAAATACACTTAATGTGAAGATTAAATGATTCCATTTACATTGACAGGCAAGTGTTTAGTATAATGCCTGACACATAGTAAGTGTTCTATAAATGCTGTTATTTTGTACTTTAATGTATCAAGGAACATTGTATCAAAGCACATAAATCAAGATAACCTTATAGGAAGCACTCACCAAACACTTGTTGGATTAAGAAAATGTCTCCTAGAGTAGTAGCTGACAGAACTTGTGTGGGGTGGGAACGGTTTGTGTCTGCACTCTCCCACATGGTACCTGGAGCCATGTGTGGCTGTGAAACATTGGCAGTGTATTGAGTGCACCGCAGGAACCCCCCACCAGCAGCCACAGGTAGAGTGTGGGGGTTGGCTGCCATACTGGGCAGCACAGGTCAGAGTGTGGCTGCCTGTCTCTCTGCATTCACCTTCAGGTTTGTAAATACTGACTCGATTTCAATTAATCCTCTTAGGTTCTGTCATTACTTCTGCTTGTTGCTTTCCCACTGTCAAATGATTACTGATCTGACGTATCAAATGCATCTTTAGTAGCTTCTTTCTTATTGTTCCGATTCCTTTTCTTGCATTAGAATCATCACAAGACAATACTTTTGAAAACATTGATGACACATAATATTGATGAAAATGGCCATATTCTTTGCTTCATAATTATGTCATTTTCATGTTTATAAATGACAAATAGAATGATTAAGACAATGGAGTTATTATCACCTTCATATATACACCTACCTTTAACGTTTGTCCACTTATGAACTGTTTCAAGAAAGTTTTTTACACAGATATCATAAAGGAATAAGGAGTGGCCTTTTAGCAAAACAAGAAAACTCAGGCTCTTGTCACAGAATATTGGGTAATGAAGTAATTCTTGTGTAATGATCCAAATCTGTTTTTGTTTTTAATAGTTTACACTGATACTTTATGTGGAGGGATGTCCTGTTAGAGCCTAACCTTAGGGCCACGGCTATACCTCCTGTCTTCTGCACCGTGGGCAGCTGTCACAATGGAGACCCCAGGTCACTCGGAGTTGACACGTGTCTCTAGGGTACATGCAAGTGTGCTTGCTTTCGTTTTGGGACCCCTGCTTTTGCTTCTTTTTTAGGTTGTGAGGATTCCTTAATTTCTTGTAAGCTCAGCAACACACTTAACTTTCTTTGGAAATAGTTTATTCACCATTTTTATTTGGTTTTAGCAGAAGAGTTGTTCAAGGTGTCTAGTCAGCAGTACCATTGGGAATGGAAGGCCCACTCATTTAAAAAGTAACACAGTGTGTCCTTCAGCATTTACATTTATATTTTGATAGGCGCTCCAGAGGTTTAAGGAGAAGTTATAGATAGAAAACTGAAAATTGAGCAAAATCTTATCATTAACTTCAAACCTTTAGTGAATGAATCAGACTATCAGTGTACATGTTTTTGGCTGATACAAGTTTCCTCGTCTGTAAAATGGGGATTATAGTAGCCTCTACCTCATAGGGTTGTTGTGTGAGGGATAGTGAGATCCTTCTTTTCTTTCTTTCTATGTATCTACCTTATCTTTTATATTATACTTCATTGTTGATGAAATCTGATATTTAAAAAATGAAATACCACTCTTTGTTATACTAAAATTATGTTCAGACCTGTACTTTATTTTATTTATTTATTTTTTTAAAGATTTTTATTGGGGAATTGGGGGAAGAGAACAGATAAGTTGCTGTCCATTTGTTTTTCAGTCTAGTTGTGGAGGATGTTGGTTCACTGGCCCATGTTGGTATTATCATTGTGCTCTTCCCCAGTGAGGCAGTCACTCGCCGGTCATTGGACTGCAGGTCACGAAAGCTCAAGCCAGTTGCCCACCAGCCCCACCGCAGCCTATGCCGTCACCGGCAACTCACGGCAGCCCAGCTCCAGGTTGAGCTGTTGTTCACCATCTTATCTGTAGAGGGCGCAGCGTCACTGGTCCTCTTGTGGGATCTGAATGGGGACCCTGCTGCTTAGAGCTGGCGTCCCAAGCCAACTTCTAACCAACGCACCACTTCTCCAGCCACAGTAAAACGTTTTAAAAAGTAACACAATTCTTTATTGGAAGTGTTTGCATTTTTATCTAGAGAGCTGTAGAGGGCGCTTGATCATTAGGAATAGTACTGTGAGCAGGCGTTAACTAATTATAAGAATTCCTTTAGGCCAGAGCATCACAGTTAGTTAATTTCTCGTGGATGCACATCTTTCTTTTGCTATTTTAAAAGAAGTTAGAATGACTAATGTTGCATAATTGACATAGTTTATAATGAATATTGATGTAATGTACTTGGTTGCAAATGTTTTTCATCTTCCAGATTCTTCAAATATAGTTGAAATTAGGATTTCCCTACTTTATTTTGGTTACAATAACAAAGGTTTCTTTTCCTCCCAGTTGCCCTTCCTCTCCTCTCCCAAACTGAGAATTCTGATACTTTGATTGGTAGGCTTTACAAGCAGCGTCTATTCTCCACATGGGTCAAAGACAACCAAGCCATGTAAGGGGACAGTGTACTTAGGTAGGTCTAGTTCAGAGAGTGTTCTTTCCAGAATGAAATGGAATTGAGAAACCTGGGCAGACTTTAGAAGTTGTTTTGTTAAGATATGTCTGGCTTTTCTGGATGATTAATTTATTATTCAGAGAAGAGTTCCAGGCTTTACTGTTGCCTGTTTTTTCTGGTTTAGTTGTTATTTTAGAAAACTTGAGTAGAATTATCTGATAATACTTCTATCTTTTAGAAATCAATTTTTAGTAACTTTGGATTCAATTTCACCAGTGCTAAAAAATTTCAGAATTATTTGAACTTGGTCAAGTTAGATGGAGTGGTATAATTTAGAATAAAAGGCAGTAAGTTAGCTGTGTTTTTAAAAAATACAAAAAATAGTTAGGGAAGTATCATTTCTAAAGTGTAGGCAACTGTAAAGGGTTCTGACCTAAACCTTGCCAGGCATTTCTCTCTTTTCCCCGAAACTTTTATATATTTGTGATGAAGTTTTATATTACAGTTCCTAAAAAAGTAAGTAAGTAAGAATTTCTCCCATTGCCCCCTGAAAGTGCAGGTATTTTCTCTTGTTATGGGTAGAAGGATTGCTGGTGTTCAAGCTTTCTCATTAAACAAGTGTGCTTTGTTCTTCTGTTTGTTTCGTTTTAACTGTCAAGGCACCACCTTCCATGGTCAACAATGAACAGCGCCAACATGCAGAGCACATATTCTTATCGTTTAGGAAATCAAAATCGCCATTTGCCGTTTGCAAGCATATTTTGGGTAAGTATTCACTTTATAGACATTGCTGTGTAATCAAACCTAGTTTTTCTGTCTTCAAAGTTAGATCTTTTAAATTTCTTTTAAAGTAAGCGGGTTTGTACAGTTACAGGTATTCATTAGTGATCATTCTACGGAAGTGGCTTTAAAGATATTCCGTGTAGCCAGACAGAAAACTTTTTTTTCTTTTGGATTTTCCTCCCCTAAATATAGTGTCCAATAACTTGTTTTATTATTGACCATAACATGAAGACTGTTAAGAGTGGAGAAAAAAAAATTAATATTTTTTCAATTGTTTTCAAGTGATATCATTTATTATGGAAATGTACTATATCTTATCCCAGTATTTTAAAATTAAGGTTGTTTTTGAGTATTTCTATATTTTTTTAATTGTTTTTTTCCCGTAGTTTTTTTAACCATATAGTTTGTATAAAGCTTGCTCAGCAGATATTAGTTCTGTATAGGTTATCACTGTATATCCTAAAATGAAGCATTGATTTTTACTCTTGTAAAAAATGTTTTATGAGTACCTTATATGTGATATATGTACAGAAATGATCTCTTTCCAAAGATGGCATTTTCTAAGATACACATACATGCAGTTTCCTACCTCTTAGATATTTTTCAATAATAGTGAGAGAGATTCCATTGGTTATTGTTGTTTTATAACCTGATTATCATTGGCTGTTTTTCTTAATTGGAGCCATTTTTTTGTAACCCTATTTAAGGCTCTGAAAGGCAGAGGTCTCCATGACCACATAATTGGCTAGTTGAGTATTAGGAACTAAAAGATCTGCCCTTTTATTCTTGTGCTTTTAGTAAGACTTAACCCGCTAGCGACCAGTACTCTGGTCTCCAGGCTGAGATCACCTACTGTTCAAGTTGTATGTTACAAATGCTCTGTGTAAAGGCCCGTCAGGAGAATTCTCAGATGGAGTGGCAGGAGCTGGTTTAGGGACTGTGCCATTCGGCCGGTAGGGCCTGCTGCTTGCTCTGAGCCTGTTCTCACCTGTGAAATGGGAATAATGATGCCATTGTCCTTAATGGGTTTGGCTTCAGTTGTGAGGTGCAAATGTAGGAACAGTCAGGTAAATGTCATGACCCCATCACCTCATTTCACATGGTCTTCTAAAATGATGATAAGCTTAAAAACATGCTGTTTTCTGTTCACAAGTAGCTAGCAGTGGTGAAGGCGGGTCTGCCTCACTCAGGAGTTAGACCTTACCATTAGAGGAACAGTTTTTTTGATAACCACCTTTTAAATTCTAAATGAGGAAGTCTTTTTTGTTTGTTTTTTTTTGAGTCATCATTTTTTATACTTGGGTGAGTTTGTTTCTGGCGTTAAGAAAATTTGTTACGTGTTGGAGAATACTTAACTCAGTGTTAAATTAAGAGAAGCAAAACTAAACACCAGGAACCTCAGTGTTGCAGATTTAAGGGAGCCTTGCTTCATCTTCATTGCCTGGAAATTGCTCAGCAACTAGATTTAGAAAACCATTTTGTTAAATTCGTCACCTAAAATCGGAGTCTGGTTTTCATGGCGTTTGCCTTAAGTCTGTCAGCTAGGGTCCATCAACCCCATTCGACTGTCTATTGTAACTCATTTGTCACCCTGTACGAGTTGGGAAGTAGTTGACTAAGTTATAAGTATTGTATCAGAGTGTATTTCTTTATGCCACGCTTTCCTTTTTAAAATTATATACATTTATGAAGTACTATTGTTTTGTAATGATTTGAGCTTGTTTGGAAAACTTGTTTTTCTGATAAAATTTCAAAAACCAGTATGGCTAGTTCCAGTCATGCATTTGAAATTAGTTGGGTTTCGAAACATTAACTGTGTAAGAGGTCAAGGGCATGTTTAAAACGAGCATAATCATTGATGTACTGCCCAGCCCTGTGTTACGCTGATGCTGACTCTGAACTTCACAGACAATCTCTTACCTCCATGCTCAATTGCCACCAGCACAGAAGGTTGATTCCTCTAAGAAGACTTCTCATGCAGGTGGCAGTCAATCGCAATTCAGAATTTTCACATTCTTAGCTAGGGATTATATGTCATTTTCTAGAACGTCTGGGTAATGCATTCTAGCAAAGGGGAGACTTTCTCTCCGATGCTTCTCTTTTCTGTCCTCTTACACTTCTTCCTCCCCCGTTTGACTGATTCCGTTTCTCAGTTCTCATTTCTTTCTCTTCTTATCCTTCTGTTTTCATTCTGGCTTTGCTCTTTCCTGTGTGCGCTTCATCACAAGAACGCTTTTGGACCCTTCACCTCTGATGCCTTTGGCACTTGGGGACATTCTCAGTTGGCAGGGTCAGCTGCGTCCCCCTCTCGTTAAGGAGCTGCTGCTCTGCCGTGAGGGCCAGCTCGGCTCTCAGAGCAAGCTTCATGGCATTCTTTTGCCTTTCTCTCAGGGAGAGACAGATTTCTTTCATTTCCTGTCTCAGAAGTAGCCCGCACAGATGAAACGGGAGCCTCTCTAGAGCTGGTGTGCCTGTGCAGCCATCACTCAGGCTCTGGGGCTTCCGGCACCTGCGCTTTAAGGCAGAGAGGGGACTCATTGCTGACAACTGGGCAAGGAGGGCTTTGTTTTTCTTTTCAAAGTGTTTTCTGATTGGAATGCAGTGAGTGCTTTTCCTTTCTTATTTACTTCACTTTAACTCTTGTCTTCATGGCTCTGTAGTTTCAGATGGCTGACAAGATACAAATGAATTTTATTTACATGATTATTATTAAAGAAGTTGCTGTGGTAGGAAGTGAAAGCATCCTGCTAAAGTGATGATCTAGACAGTGCCCTAGTCCGTGGAAAATCATCCTGGAAGTGTTAGAAATTCTGCATGAGTGCAGTCCTCGTGAAGACCTGGCCATTTTTTTTTTTTTTTTTTTTTTTTTTTTAGCTGAGCCATCCTGCCACCTGTTGGCAGCTCAGCGACTGCTCAGCTCGGGCTGACTCGAACCGCTGTTGCTCAGAGCTGAAGACCTGGCCATTTTGAGTGTCCCTACAGCTGAGAGCAAGAGGAAGCCTCGTGTACACTGCCAGTCGTGTCTCCTACTTGGCAGGCTGCTAGAGTTCCTTCAAGCAACTTTTGCACATTCGTATTATGTGTATGTGCAGTTTATGATGGCTAAGAGCAGTTTTCATGAAGCAGTGTAATTTATTAGGTTAGGAAAATTTCTTTTAAGTTTGGAATTTGGCTTTCTTTTTTCAGATTCCTCCATTCTTAGAGACAGGTTCTTATAGGAGCAGTAATAGACATCTTCATTTGACACCAAACAGAGGTATCTAAGGAAGAGAGTTACCTTGAAAACTATGGCATGTTGTTCCTCTTCTGTACTTGCTCCTCCCCCCCCTCCCGTCCCCCCAGCACAGATAGAAGCCCGCATGTCCCACTGGTCCTGAAAGCCTGAAGGTGCTTGTTTGTTCTTCTTACCTTCACTGGCATATCACTTGGGGTGGATCAGTACTGCTCAAGGCACATAGTCAAGGCACACAGCAGCCACATGGCCTCGACTTTCCCCTCTCTCTCTCTTGCTACATCAGTTCCCTTCAACTGTAAAAATGCAGGAATTGAATTACATGATCTTTGTGGAGTTCTGTTTCTAAATTCTTTGAGTCCCTAAGATTTTGCTTGCTTGTTAAAAAACCATGGTTAGGAATTTCAGGTTTCTTGTCCTTAAAATTTTTACTGTTGTAATAGAATATGAAGATAGGCAAACAGCCATCATTTTCTTTCAAAAGGAGATTTCTAATAAGAGATTATTTGAATTACCTCTGTGATTCAGGACTATATTTCTCCTTCAGTGATCTAAATAGATATAGCTGGTTTCTGTTTCAAATCCTCTTTGAATAAAATACTTTTTTGTTTTTCTCATGAAATTTTAATTAATAAGTTCACGTTTTTGGAAGCTATTGCTTTATTTAGTGATTATATTTTGAAGTCTCTAAATTTTTGTGAGTTTTGATGATCCCCTCAATTAGAATTCATGTTAAGATAGCATGGAATAATAAAACTTAAAAAGGTCCAAATTGGTTCCTCTTATTAATGGGTTGTCGGAAAAATCATGACATATTTTTTCTGTTTTTTGTTGCAAAAATGCGTCATGACTTTTCCAACAACCCACTAGTTTTGGTATTTTCAAAACTCCTAGGTAGCAGTCTAATGTAGTAGGAATTTATGTAGGGTGTACCTTTTCTCACACTTTGTAGCTAATTGTGTCAAGAGCACTTGTAAGATTTTTAAATTATCTGAGCTTGAATAGGAGATAGAATGATGTGCCTGAGTGTCTTCATGCTCTTCTGATAAATTCTTGAAGGTGCCGTTCTGTGCCCAGAGTGAGTTTCATGGCTTTCAGATCCCCCAGTTTAGTGTTCTTGGCAAATAACCTGCAGTGTGAGCATAGATTTTTCAATGGGTTTCACTTGATGGTTATTTTTAGAGCTTCAGAAAATTCCCACTTTTTCTTGACTTCATTTTGACTGTCTCTCCCTTCTGATAATGCTGTTTGGAACCGCCTGTAGTGGTTTTGGTGAATAAAAGAAGAATAGAAAATTAATATAAAATATTTTTAGGTATGTTAATTTTCTATTTTTTTCCCCCACCTGATTCAGTTTTTAGTCCAGATACTATAACTTGCTAGTTAAGGCTGGATCTTTCTAAGTGTAGTTTTGGGATTTACTCAGTTTAATCAGTATTGCAATCAGAAAATTCACGAGAACTTCTCACCTTGTGTAAATGTGACTTTTAAAAAAAAAAAAACATTTTGAGGATGATAACCTAGATGTAATTGTGTTGATTTCTGAACTTGCTATTGGAGATGGGTCATCCTGTTGAAAGCTTCACCCCTTGACAGACTGCAGCGTTCTAACAGCACGGCTCATCACAAGTAGCAACGTTCAAGGGCAAGTTTACCAAGGTGTCCTGCAGACGCCACGTTGTTTTGCACAGGGTGAGGATCTCCCAGACATTTTCCGATTGCTTTATATTTTTATTTTTATTTTTTTTAAAGCTGTGTTATTTTTTAGTTCTTCATGCTTTGGAAGTAACAGTTGAAGAGAGGTGAGGAAAGTTTGTGAAAATTGTGATCGGTGATTAGCTGCCACCTGCCTGAGGTGTCTCCTGAGAGGAACTAACCTTTTTGTGGTGCTAGAGCGAGGTCACTGGATAAAAAGAGCAGGTAAACACCTTCCTCCTTGTCCGCGGAGTTCTGTTTCAAAATTACTAAGTGCAGAGTGCTCGGGACATCGAGCTGCCGTCTAAAGAACGTGTCCCCTTCCCTCTGCAGAGACCAGCAAGGTGGACTACGTCCTGTTCCAGGCAGCCACGGCCATCATGGAGGCCGTCGTGCGTGAGTGGGTCCTCCTGGAAAAAGGCAGCATCGAGTCCTTGCGCACGTTCCTGCTGACCTATGTCCTGCAGAGGCCCAAGTGAGTGCCACGGGGACGCGGGAGTGCCCAGTGGCCCCTGCTGGAGTCTGCTCCTGTGTTCTCCAGTTTCAGTGGGAGGCCTTCATGGTTAAGCCCTGTGTGGGCTCGTGTTCGAAAATCCCATACATGCATGACGGCCAGTTTTGCTGCTTCATGAAATAATGCTTTTTATTTGAGCTGGTGGTCCTGGTTTTGTTTCGTTGAAAAGACTGCTAGAGGTTAGGTCTTTTTGTTGTTTCCTTCCAAGGATTGGGGTTGCAAATAAAAATTGATCTTGGACTCAGTTGAGAGCCTTTCTCCTTGTCCTTCCTTGGTGCTTGGTAAGTATCAGGAGACGTCAGTGAATGTCCCAAGACAGGGTGATGGTGGGGTCAAGAAGTGTGGACAAACGGGGTGTCACAGACACCTGCACACAGAAGTGCATGTTAAGTCAAAAGTTGTAGAGAAAAAGCTCCAAACTCTTCGGCAGTCTTCTCTGGCTTGAGGAGCCAAAGGGTAAAAGTAAAGGTCTTTGTACGTCATACACACTGTGATGTTTAAACATTTTACAGGATGTGTACATTTATTGCTTTATAATTTTTTTTTAAGATTTTATTGGGGAGTTGGGGGAGGGGAACAGCGTTGGGGAATTGGGGAAGGGGAACAGACAAGTTGCTGTCCTTTTGTTCTTCAGTCTGGTTGTGGAGGATGTCGCTTCACTGGCCCATGTTGGTATTATCATTTTGCTCTTCCCGGGTGAGGCAGTCACTCGCTGGCTGCTCACAGTGGCTCACGGCAGCTCACAGCAGCTCACACCCGCTGCTGGCCAGCTCCACTGCAGCCTACGCCGTCGCTGGCAACTCACGGCAGCCCAGCTCCAGGTCCAGCTGTTGTTCACTATCTTAGCTGTAGAGGGCGCAGCATCACTGGCCCGCATGTGGGATCTGATCCGGAGCCCTGCTGCTCAGAGCTGGCGTCCCAAGCCAACTCTTAACCAACACTCCACTCGGCCGACCCACTTTATGATATTTTTTATAGATATGAGGAAAATTATCAGCCATACAACTTTTGGGAGAGATTCATTTCCCACTTTTCATTTTTTTTTTTTTTTAAGAGATTTAAAAAATTTTTTTATTGGGGAACAGTGTGTTTCTCCAGGACTTATCAGCTCCAAGTCAAGTAGTTTTTTTAATCTATGGTAGTTGTGGAAGGCGCAGCTCAGTGGCCCATGTGGGGATTGAACTGGCAAACTTGGTCTTATGAATACTGCCCCCTTGTGCTCTAACCACTTGAGCTAACTGGCTTCACCCCACTTTTCATTTTTAATGTCCCCCAAATTCCAAGTTTTCTCCTAGGAGGAGACAGTGCACATTCCATGTGTGCTGTTTGTGTGGGTGGATGCTTTTCGCATAGATGTTCCTTTTACGCTCAACAAAGGAAGTGTTGTGTAATCAGAAATGCTGGTGCTTAGGAATGGCAATTCTTTAACATGCATAAACCTTTAAACACGATTTGGAGCATACTGTTATGCCTTGTTCCTACTGACTGCCGGCAGTCTTTGAGTTTCTGACATTTAAAATGACCGGCCTGCGGCCGAGTGGCGCGATGGTTAAGAACTGGCTTGGGACGCCAGAGGGCCCCGGTTCGGATCCCACATATGAGGGCCAATGACAATGCCCTCTACAGCTAAGATGCTGAACAACCGCTCAACCTGGAGCTGGGCTGCTGTGAGTCACTGACAACGGTGTAGGCTGCAGTGGGTTGCCATGGGCTACCGTATGTAGCCAGCAGCCAGCGTGAGCGGCCAGCAGCCGCAGTGAGCAACCGTCCAGAAGCCGGC